TTATCCAATAATATTTTTCCCATGTGATGAGATGATCTACAAAAATCAGCCAATTACAATGAAAGCCCGCTATGCTGGTCCCCGTTGATAACGAAAATAAAAATTTTAATAAAAAATTTTTTTAGTAATTTTGGGCCGAATTAAAAGATATTATGTAATTTTTGCCAAAATTAAGGTAGCCAAATTTATAGTTTAATTAATAAAATTGATTAACTTTAAAAGGAAATAGCTCTACTAAATACGTACTAATTAATTTTAAAAATAAACTCTATTTTGCTATTCTACTGTATAGAAAGACTTGGTTTGTAACTATTCTAATTTTCTATTTATTTGCTGATTTAAGGATTCCTGAATGTAGAAAAGAAATATTTTTTATTGTCTTTTTTTTTAAAAAAAAATTAAGCACTAATCACTATCACTATCATACGTCATCACCTATTCGATAACAAATGATCCTAGAATAATTCCGTAATTCTGCTAATATGATTTATAGCATTCATTATTTGACTATGAAATATTTGCTTTAACTTTTATAACCTGAAAAACTTCATACTCTTCGACAGAGAAGTTATCTGTTGACTCTCTAATTGATCTTTCATAACATCTTTTAAAGCATCTGCATCCACGATCTTTTTCAAAATTACCAGTCATACGTAAATCCTGGAAATATGGGCCACGATCGAGCCTTGACTTAATCGGGTTGCGATGCCTTGATCTACTAATTATAGAATTTTCTGGTCTATCTATATCAAACCCAATTATAAAACTTTTTTTTGTGCGGTAATATTTTGAATCTCTTGGTGATTCCCAGCTGAGTGGATTATATCCACCTAAAATTTCATTTTTATCTTTAACTTTTAAAACAGTTAAAGTTGGTCCTTTATTATCGCATCTTCTATGGAAGTCATCAGGTGTAAACCCATCTCGACTTCCCTTGAGGAGCAGTTTGAATTCATAAATAACTGTGGTTTTTTTCTTAGCTATCAATGGTCTATAAAATTTAGCGAAAACACTACAAATGCTACTACGAGATACTTGATCAATCCACCCACTAATTAAGTTGAAATGTTCTGTTTTTATTAAACATGACAGGGATTTAACTTCTAATTGTTTAGGAATAACTACTTGTATTAGTGATTCATTACTCTCAAATGTTCTTTGGATATCCAGCTGGTTAACAAGTTCATCTATAGGTTGGATCGGCTCCTTCTTTAGCTCTTGTAACATTATTTGGAGAGCTTTACATACATCCTGGATATCGGGTCGGTTATTTGGATCTTCGTCCCAACAACGTGAATATAATTCGACATATGGCGCCGGCGTGTCTTCTACTGGTGTTTCTCGTTCACCTTGAAAAATTTTAATTACTATTTCAGTTTCACCATTACAATGGAAAGGCGGAATACCACTAGAAATTTCCCAGAGGAGAACTCCTAAACTATAGATGTTAGATTTTTCATTACGCTTGTAACTATTATCCTTAAGGTATTGTGGCTCTATGTAAGCAGGTATACAATGATTCATGGAACTTGTAGTCGTATGTTCAACATTTGCCTGTACAGATATGCCGAAACCAGTCAGCATGATTCTACAATCATCGATTAATACATTTTTATAGTTCTATGAAAAGGAAAAATTAAAGAATTAATTATAAGTTTATCTTAAAAAATAATTACCAATTTTTGTTGTTTAAATGAATTCTTACAAAATCTCCATAAATAATTTTATTTCTATGTAAATGCATAAGGCCCATTGCTACTCCTAAAGCCATAGATAATTTTTTCTCCCATGTAAGCTTTTTAAGATTTTTTTCTAAATATTCTTGTAAATTACTATCTTTCACATATTGCATTATTAAATAGTAGCGTCTGTTATTATAATCTTTCGCTATTCCGTAAAAATAATTAATATTAGGACGAAAATCTTTTGAGATCTTTGCTAGCGATTGGACCTATAGTAAAACATATATAGACAATTAAAGAACTATTTTTATGTTATATGGTACCTTAGTTTATCACGAACCTTTTTTATAGACTCTTGAACGTTTTTTTCGTCGATATTTAAATTCTTCAGTGCAACAATACATTCGAGTGTTCTCCAATATGCTTTTTTTTTACCATCAAATTCTTCATGTATTTCGAATTCATCATAACTATGTATTTTAATTTTGTATTCTTCTATAGTTTTATCAATATTCAAATATACTTTTTTTTCATCATCAGATTCAAGTATTTCGAATTCATCGTAATTGTGAATATTAATTTTGTGCTCTTCTATAGCTTTATCAATTGAAGAACAATCAGAATTACGCATATCTTCATTATATCAAGAAAAAAAATAACAATAGTTAGTTAGTAAAAATTCATTAATGCCCATAAGTTAAAATAATTAATCCGGAATAAACTAACACTGATTCTTAGTATGATTTATGATGAACTCAACTTGTGTTTCCGCAGATAATTTGTCAAGTTCATTTAAAACCTCATTTAGTGTTGGTCGCTGGGCTGGATCAGAAGACCAACATCTCTCATAAAGTTTAACATAATCAAAGGGAGTGTCGGCAATAGGTTTCTCTTTTTTATTGCGTAAAACTTTTAGCAAGGCATTTAATTGAGAAAGATTATTAAAAGGAGGGCTTCCGTTCGTAAGCTCCCATAGTAATACGCCAAAACTATAAATGTCGGTTTTCACATTGAAAATAGCATTTTTCCCCTGCAAAAGGCATTGTGGGTCAGTATACACCGACATGACTGTTATCTCCGTGCTTAGAGTAGGCGAATCAATTAATTGTTTCGCGATCCCAAAGTCCGAAATCAATGCTTTATTATTATTTATTAGAATATTCTTAGAATGCTAACAGAATTTTATAATGAATTTTAAAATTATAATAGGCAAGAAATTTAATACAAAAATTGCAAGTTATAACATACTAGATCTCGATGAATAATTCCATTCTTATGTAGGTGTTTTAGTCCAAGCGCGATTTCTTTTGCTAATTGTACAAGCTCAGCCCATGAAATTCTATATATATCATTTTCATGCTTCATTTTTAAATGGTCTCTAAGGTTTCCACCATTAGCATGTTGTAATATCAACATGAAATTATTCTTCAATGGATCTAATACATATCGATTATGTTACTAAAAATTATCATTCTAATATAATTTTAAATTTTTATCATACCTCTTGAAATTCCATAGAATTTAACAATGCTAGGATGATGTTCCACCTTACAAAAGAGCTTAAGCTATTTACAATATTTATTAGTTTCAGTTGAAGGCCAAATGCCTAACTTTAACAATTAAATGACCGACAATTACCTCACGGGCAAGTTTTTTAAATGACTTATAATTTAAAATTAGGTTGTTGTTCAAACTTTTTAATGCATACTTCTCCTTCTCCTCTTGAAACGTAGCAGAATACACTATTGCGGATCCACCATACCCAATAATGCTGAGAATATTAAATTGCAAGTAATCATACTTTTGTGCGCCGTATTTTTCTGAATGCTTTTCTAATTGTTCTGAATATTCAGACACTAATGTCGCATAAATACTCATAAATGTTAAGGCGTATTGAACCAAAAATAGGTAGTTATTAGTATAATAAACGATAACTTACACGTTTTTTTATTATCATTTTCGGTACTGCCATATTCCTTACTCATCGTATTATAATTGATGGTTTATTCGCAAAATAATTATTTACGTACGTATATTCTTATTACGTATTTATAACTAAATGATCATAACTCTTTCTCAAAAGCATAATATACCGTTAGGCCATTTTTGTGAATGTATCAGTATTATAGACGTAGACTTATTTAAGGTTTCGATATAATTTTCTAAATAGGACGCTGTCATTCGTAATACACTAAGGGTCTTGTGTTGCCCATTGAACATTTTTGAACATAATGCTGAATTTTTTTGGTTTAATAAAAAAAGACAAACGATATTGTTTGAAATCGACTAAAAAAATGAACAAAATTGTTTGTTTAATAAAATTCGTCGCACAGGATGCAGATTATGATTACTCCTTATTTTTCATTGTATAGCTCACTACAGTTATTAAAGGTTACACTAAGTTCTTTAAATGAATTTTGTTGTTTTCAAAGTCATTTACAATATCAAAATATAGTTAATTAGGCTAAGATTTAGCGTTAGTGCAACAATCTAAATTAGATTAAATCATATTGCTTATAGGACGTCGTACAGTACGTACTTGTTATTGGTCATGTTGTGGATTACGTATTAACTAGCATACTAATACTGGAGACATGCTACCCGGGTAAAGGTTAACCCGTACGGGTCATTAAATTTAACGGGTTATGCGGGTCACGGGTCAGAATCAAGCTAACCCGGGTCATATAAGTAAAACGGGTATGAAATAAATGCTGGTAAAAAAAAAAGCTCTGACTTTAAATACTGACCAATCAGATTGCAAAAGCGAACATCTATATAATTTATCTGACCCGGGTCACAACCCGGGTCAAAAAATTTCGCGTTGGGTATTGACCCGGATCACTATTTTCTGACCCGGGTAAGAGCTCTAGACATGCAGCATACTGCGTTCATGACGTGCTTTCGCATGTCATAATGCGGTATCTGTTAAAAAGAAATCAGCTTATTCAACATGTGAACACCGAACGATTTTTATGTAACTTATTGGCCTCCTTCTAATACAAATACACAAATTTTCATTTGCCTTTTAAGAGTTATGAAAATTTGTGTATTGTATTAGGAGGCAGCCCGAATAACTTACACAAAATCGGTTGGTGTTCACATAAGACATGTCGAATAAGATTCATTAATACAGCATTGTTTAGGCTTTTTGTCTTAAGTTAGATATGTACAGACGTACGTACGAAAATTTTGATACGTAGTACACATGTTTGTACATAAAATTTTTTATACTAGTACTTACATAAATTTAAATTTTTTTTAATATGTACATTATTTTAATATATAAATCGAATATATAAATATATGAATTATTTTGCAATTTTAAAATGTATTTGCATTTATACATATCTATTTCTACGTATATATGGGGCAATCCATAATTTATATTAAATCGGTATTGTTATAAAGATCTTGAAGATAATACAAAATAATACTATATGGTAATTATCTTCAAGGTCTCTATTTTCACACAATGCAGTACTTGTATGACTTAAATTATGGGATGCTCCTATGCAGAAATTAAGCAATTAGGCAAATTCGCAAGATCAATCTAAATATATTTGCATTTATAAAGGCAAATCCAAAATTATTTTAGTTGTCGATTTTGTAATTCAATGGCCTCTGCTTCGGTAATTCTTTCTCAGTTAGGCTTGTTGTTTTAATAGGGCCATCTTTCTTTTTTCTAGTTAATTCCAGAATTTTTTACCTGAATTTTATTCTTTATATCTTTTGAATCATTATCTAATTCTATTTTAATGGATATGTTTCACCTTTTATACTGCTAGTAGTACAATTAAAAAATGGGTTAAAAATTATTATAGATCTAAAAAATCTTTTTTTATACAAAAATCCGATAAATATAATAACATTATTTAGTTTAATTTTTTACTATTATTAATAAAGTCTTTAAATTAAATTTTTTTTTAGTAAATTATTAATTACTGTAAATTTAGCATACTACTGGTAGTACACTATTAATGCTAATCTAAATAATAAAATTAATAATAAATTTTATAAATTAAAAGTTTATAAAAAAATTTATAAGACTTATTATAATTATTATTACTTATATTATGACTTTTTTAAAAAGTTTATTACAAATTATTACTACTCATAGTAAGGCATTTAAAATATGTGCTTAGTTGTGGTTACGTAAAAGTAATCACAATTTCACTAAAAAAAAATAACAAAATATTTTATTTGAATTTTATTGATTAATGTAGTCCAAATAAAAAATGTTTCTTTAAATTTAATTAGATGGTTATCTTTGTTCAAAGTTTAAAAAAATTTGGCACTACTTTAATTTTGCTAAGTAGTTTGGTTTTTTTAAAGCTTTAAGTGAAGATAACTTGACTATTAGATAACCAAATTTGATAAAATTTTTTTATTTGAATTCTATTATTATAGAATTCAAATAACAAAAGTTTTATTGTTAGGAATTAATTTAGAATTAACCAGTGGTGAAATTTACTAGCCTAAGAATTGTTAGGGTTAGGGTATTAAGAATTTTTTTTATATAAAATAACATAAAGCTAATATAAAGTCCCGATTTCAGTTTTCATGAGGTTTTTAGGGGTTCTGAACATTTTTACTTAGAGTACATGATTCTATTTACTTAGTAGGTTTTTGAGATACAGCACCCCAGTAAATTTCACCTCTGGTGAGTGTTAAAATATTCTTTTGTTAGATAGTTATAAAATATTTTTACTCAAATTTTGAGAAAAAATTTTAACAAATTCTTATTTTGATAGGTGGTTTGATTTTTTTTAAAAAAAACTTTGTATAAAGATAACTTGACAACCAGATAATTAAATTCAATGAAATTTTTTTTATTTAAATTCTATAAATCCATAGAGTTTAAATAATAAAAATTTTGCCAAATTAAGTGATGTGGAGATATCTTTATTAAATTTAAAGAAAATTAAAATGCTTATTAAAATAGAAGTTTTTTCAGAATTTGAGTGAAGATATCTTAACAAACTTTAATCAAGTTTGATAAAGATTTTTTATTTAAATTATATTTAAAAAAATTTTTATCAAATTTAGTTATCTGGTTGTCAAAATGTCCTTGCTTAAAGTTTTAAAAAAATCAAAATACAAAAACTATATATAAACTTTGAGTAAAATATCTCAATTAAGTAATTTATATAAGTATTTATATATAAATTAAGTTTTTATATAGGTTTTTTTTTTGATTAAATATTAATTCATCAAGAATAAAAGCTTAGATTAATTATTTATCTGTAATTTAAACCTACTAAAGTAGTCAAACCTCATCTAGATTTGAATAGTTAAAATATAGTTAGTAAAATACTAAATTAAATCCACATAGTAGACTAGGTGTCAAATTTTGCAATTAACAAGCCCAGCTAGTTAGTAAGTATTAGATTCAAAGTGTAGTTCATTTAGTATATTGTATAGACAATTATAAGTAAATATGTTTTAAACTCTAATATAGAGACAAGGAGGAAATTGTTAACAAAGTTGAATAAACACAGAGTTTGAAAATCTTTTATATGCTTTTTTTTAAGTAAAAAATTTAATACAATATAATTTTTATATTTGGTTATAAAGTTTGTTAGATATCTTAAAAAGAATTTAAATAATTAATTAAGAAATAATAAAGTATACTATATCAAAATAGTAATATAAATTAGATAAAAGTAAAGTAAAAAGAAATAGGAATAAAGTGAGAAGGGCTGTAAAGAGAAAGACAGATAGAAAGAGGTTGTGTATATAAAGTAATTAAATTTATAAGAATAGAAAATAAAGTTGAAGTTAGAAATAGTTTTAGTAATAAAGAAATTAATAATTTAATTTAAAAGATTATAATATATTGAAAATAGTTATACTTCTTTAATCTTATAAATTGGAACTTTACTTGGCTCTATTTTAATAAAAAATAAAAAAGCTCTTATAATTTTACTAACCTCAAATTTAATTATTTTAAATCTTTTAAAATCAAAATATTACTTAATAGTCTGCCTATATATTCACACTTTTACTCAATATCACTTAACTTTTTCTATTCCTTTTATTATTTTGTATTAAAGTTTTGTTATTTTATTCTTTAATATTTTATATTATTAAAATTTTTTTAAATATATGTATTTATATTCTCTTTGCCAATCTTGTACCAAGTTTTTAATAAATTTAATAGATTTTTACATATATATATATATATATTATAAATCTAATCTAATATATATCTAGGCTAATATCTGGCTTACTTAAATAGTATCTAAATATAGTTGTTATACTAATTTTTGTCAATCTAGTTTCATATATATATTTACTTATATACTCAATTAAGAATATAACTAGATACTTTGCTATCTTTATTGATTATATATATATCACACTTATATATTCTATAATCTTTTTCTTGCAAATTATAGTATTGCTTCCAATCTATATCTTGCATTACTTTCAAATTTGTATTTTAGAGATAGGTGCTCTTCATGCTTCTAGTTTGGTATTTCTAGAAATATTACTTTATAGTATTACCTAATTCATATTTACTGCTACTATTTAAAAATCTATATTTCAAATTACTTGTCACTGCTATTAAGATTCTATTTGCATTCCAGATATTTATATTTTGTACTATTAGATTAGGCTACTATTTTATTTATAATATACTCTTAAATAGTGTTACAAAAATCTGAATTCTTAGAATAAGAGTTACAGTTAGACCTTTCTAAATGCATATCTATATAAAATTTCCCTAAATGCATACATTTTTTTTTGGCTCAACTTAATATAATACATATAGATTTTTACCTTCCTAAATATATAATTTTTTTAAATGCATAGTTTTGAAAATTTTTACTATAGTCCCAATGATATATACTTAGAGAGAGTTGATTGTAATTATTTTATTTTATTAGTATCACAATTTAGTAACTTGAAATCTTTACTCTTGCTATGTTTTGTTATAAAACTACTATGCAGGTTGTATTGCTAGACTTTATATTTGTATTAT